CTTGAGCCCAGGAGTTGGAGGTTGCGGTGAGCATGATGCCATGGCACTCTACCCAGGGGGATAGCTTGAGGCTCCGTCTCAAAAAAAAACAAAAACAAAAACAAAAACACCATGGCTCAGCGCCTGTAGCTCAAGCCAGTAGGGTACCAGCCACATACACCAGAGCTGGTGGGTTCAAATCCAGCCCAGGCCCACCAAACAGCAATGACAACTACAACCAAAACATAGCTAGGTGTTGTGGCAAGTGCCTGTAGTCCCAGCTACTTGGGAGGCTGAGGCAAGAGAATCGCTTATGCCCAAGAGTTTGAGGTTGCTGTGAACTGTAACGCCATGGCACTCTACCCAGGGCAACAGCTTGAGATTCTGTCTCAAAAAAAAAAAAAAAATCTGCTAACCACATCCATGGTGTCACAGTGGATGAATACCACAAAGATGAGGCATGGAAGGCAGGAACAAAAGGAGAGCATAAAACTGGGTTCCTCAAGCAAGCTGGGGTGCAACCTAGGGAAGTCTTCCAGGAAGAAGGTTGGGAAAATGGAAGATGCCTAAGCCAGGCAGGGTCCTGAACTCAGCCTGGAGGAGCCCAGAAGGCCCAGTGGGGCAGAGGGTTGGGAAGAGGTCATGGCAGCCAATACCTCATGATAAGTTAGCATCTGTTAAGTAGATCAGAGATCCCTACACTCCCTGGGGTCTTAGGCCTGCCCATTCACTATCTGTGTGGGCTGTGGCTCCTGCAGAGCCACTGGCAAGACATTCCACACTTCGTGTCCAGTCTCTGTCAAATCTTATCTGTTTCTTCACTTCAGAAAGATATCAAATCTGGGTCACCACCAGAGCTGGCTTCAGGGGTTTGTGGCCCTTGTACCCCCTTACGACTGTCACCTTTTCACCATCTGGGAAAATTCTTAGGTTTTTCTTTTTTTAAGAGACAGAGTCTTGGGTGGTGCCTGTGGCTGAGTGAGTAGGGCGCCAGCCCCACATACCGAGGGTGGCAAGTTCAAACCCAGCCCTGGCCAAACTGCAACGACAACAAAATAGCTGGGCATTGTGGTGGGCGCCTGTAGTCCCAGCTACTTGGGAGACTGAGGCAAGAGAATGGCTTAAGCCCAAGAGTTAGAGATTGCTGTGAGCTATGATGCCTCGGTACTCTACCAAGGACAACAAAGTGAGACTCTGTCTCTAAAAAAAAAAAAAAAAGAGAGAGAGAGTGTCTTCCTCTGTTGCCCAGTCAGAAGTGCAGCGCCATCGTCACAGCTCACTGTAGTTTCCAACACCTGAGCTCCAGGGATCAGCCGCCTCATCCTCCTATGTAGCTGGGACTACAGGCATGCACCACAATTCCTGGTTCTTAGTTTTTGAATAAGAGACGCCATATTTTCATTTTGCACTGTCCTCTGAGAATTCTGTAGCAGTTCTCCACTCCTCATCAGGTTGTTTTAGAATCTGTTTTCCTCCAAAATCTCTGCTTGAAGTCCTGCAGGAGCTTCCCTGACAAAGATACCCAACTCCCTTGTTCTGGGGACACCTTCCTTCCCCTTATGTTTGCAGCCTCCAGCTCAACTTTCTAGCCTCACATTCCAGAACAGGCTGCCTCCAGCCTTAGTGCAGGGTTTTATAAAATCCCACTTGCTTATTGGCTACTTTGTTCTTTTTTTTTTTTTTGAGACAGAGCCTCAAGCTGTC